TTGACGGTCAGTTTTTGGAAATACTGACTACAAACTCTAAGAAAGTTTCCCGACCTAAATTCTTGTTTCTAATTCTCGTTCCTTTTAGGTCTTCCCTTTTTTCAATCTCTTTTTCAACATCTTCTTCTATTACTCTCAATCTATTTGTTCTTTACTTGTGCTGCATCAGGTCATAAGGTCAATAATTCCATTAGTTTCTAATTATGATCACTGATATTTCAAGGGGAATGAAACTGTCTAAACAGGAGTTAAAATAAACTATTCTCCTAGGCATTCTGCAGAAGTGCATTGCATGTTCTTCTCTCTTAAGGCTTTTAGTAAATATGTCGTTAGCAAAAATGCATGTCAGGAATATTTTTCTAGTAGTATTGTTATAATAATGCATGATTATATGATCAGGTACTGCATGGTGCTTTTTGCTGGTATTGCTGCTGAAGCTCTGGTTTATGGTGAGGCTGAGGGTGGAGAGAATGATGAAAACATGTTTCGCAGCATCTGTGTCCTTCTGCAACTGCCGTTGTCTGTAGCTCAGTAAATCTGCAACTATCTATTTTCATGCCATTACGCCATTAATAGGTACTAATTATTCTCACCTAGAGAGGGAAAAGGTACTAATTACTGGTTTTCATTACCTTGAGAAGATTTCAAATCAAGCTAGGTGGTCTGTTCTACAGTCTTTCAACGTGCTTAAATGGCACAGGCATGCTCATTGAGCTGCTGTCAGAGCTTTGGAAAGTGGTGGTAGTAGTATTGTAATTAGGAGGATTGAGCAAGCCATGTCTTCTGGCAGATGATGTGCAGGAGTACATAAACATGCTGGTTTCTATGGTCCAATGGAGTTCGAGAGTTAGATGTTCTATGTGCACCTATAGGAAGGCTTAGATAACCATCTGTCTGTTCTTGTATGGCTGGGCATGGTGAACTGAGGCATGGAAGCTCTGAAGCGTTACTCTGATTATTGTTCTCTGCTCTTTCCCGTACTAAACACTAATTGCATGTGTCATCAATTATGAGAAAGATTTTCCTCAAATGATAGGTTTCTTAGAAGAAGAATGAATGACTCAACTTTTTTGAGGTTCCCAAGGTATGTCCTAACAGGCCACAGTGGGCGGAGGGCACATCGAGGAAGTAACAAATTTTGGTATCCAGCTGACCATTTTTGACATGTAGTCTAAAGAGATGGTTCCTCTTGGTATCTTTGCTGCATTTAGACCACAAATGTGAGCGAAGTTTCTCGTGTTCTCAACTTTTTGTAAACATTTTAGGGCTGAAGGGGTAGGGCAAACTGGTGATCTAAACCAAACTCCCAAGAATCCAATTCTGAGTATGGAACTGAGTCTGTGAGGAGATGTGGTTGTATTCAGGAAGGAAAAAAAGAAGAGAAAAAACAGCCATATACATGTAGAGCATGCTTGTTCTAACATTCCATGATTACGGGTTACGAGGGGATTTTAACTGAGCATTCCCAGGTCCTCTATACAGGACATTACCCATAAAGAATATGTTTCTGTTCCAGTATCATATTTATGAATTAGAAGTAAAAGAGGAAAGAGTCAAAAGGGTAATAAGAACATAAGCACAATTCTGGGTGAAGCATTGTTACTGCATTGAAATAGCAAAACAAAGGTAGAAAAAAGGATGAAGTTTGAAGTTTGAACTGGCCTGATGAAGACTAAGAGAACCAGCACGAAAAGTCCTTGCAGAAAGGAGCTTCAAATACACATCTTCAGGGAGACTCTCCCTGGTTTGATAATGCTTTGCAATCCTCATTAAAGTATCCCTGTAGGAAATACATGCATAAAATATAAAAATCAACAATAGACAATAAATTTTTTTTCAATAAACAATTTAGATAGATATTTATTTAATGCAGGTAATAATTCATGTTACAAATATAACAAAATATAATAAAGTAATCATGCATCATAGACACTTTTTATGCTTGATACAAGAGAATTAGAGAATTCATTTGGCAAACTAAAACAAAATATTTCAAAATTTTACCATTTCTCCTACAAAATAATGACAGAAAGAGAGACTAAAACAAGCTTAACTCACAACTTCCTGGCTTCTGCCGAGCAGTTTTGACTTTACGCATAAGATAAAATGCCACTTGTTAATTAACAATACAGTGAAAAAACAACCATAGAGCTGCCGAAGGCCAAATAAATGGGACGAAAGGAGCTGCTGGTAGTAGGAACGAAATTGTATATTTGGTCTTGTACACTTATCTTCCACATATATGTATCATTTTCCAAACAAAATTTGTAGGAAAGGCACTCTAAAGCAATCTCAAAGACTCAAAGACTTCGAATTTTGGTCAGAGACACTCACCTACGGTAATACCAATTCACTCAACAGCATCCCACTCAATCCCCCAAATGCCAGAAACTAAACCTTCATCTTGCTTGGTCAGCATATGTTGAAGTGCATGGCCAAATTCATGCAAGACAGTCTCAACCTAAGAGGAAAAGAAAAAGGACAAAAAATGCCATTCAAGTAAGAAACGATAGACACCACTCTGGACAATGTACTAATTGCTGCAAAACAAATAAAACACACAAGTAGCATGCTGTGAAGCCAACCAAACATGGAGCATATCTCTACACTCTAAACAAGATAGAACTCACACATCTGCCACAAAATAGCATTTCGTTTCCTTAGCTGAATGAAGAATGAGATATATTCACACTTCATAAGGAGGGGGTGTTGTACTCTAGCTGAAAGTATGAGATAAAGCCATGCTTTTGAAAGGAGGAAAAACAGAGGAATAACTTAGGTGGCTCAATAATTTGTTTTTAAATAATATGGTGCTCTAGTTAAAGACAATGGTTTGGAAGATTTTGGAGTCTCTTTAGAGGGCAAGGAAAAACATTTGAGTGCTGCAATTGTTCACCACTGTATTCTTAGCTTCCAATCATTTAAAACTCCAAAATTAATTCATTAAGCAGAAAAACTATGGTTTCAACTTTCTTCACGAAATGTCATCAGGCTTGGCTTGTCCCCAACTGGTGGTGTCTGATTGCATACCATATGAGCAATAGGCAACCTCACAGCAGATCCATTACGTGACAGTACACGACTTTGAGAAACAACTTCATCCATCCATGCACCTCCTTTTTTCTCTGCTGGACCAGAGTATGGATGGAAGTAAAAGTATGCAACTGGAGCTCCTCAAGAATCTTTGACACAGTAAAACCTGACTGACATCTTTGTTCCAGACCTTTGGGGGAAAAAAAAAAGAATGACATATTAGAATATAAAATCAATATTCCACACAACAGTCGATGGAGGCACATTATGAAAGAAACAAATAGGATTCTTACAGGAGCTAGACCATCAGCAGGCTCAATAACAATTCCAAAAAATGTATTAGCAAGGTTGAAAAGGCCATCCATGATCTTTGGCAATGAGAAATATGGACGCAGCTCTTCCTGTAAAATTTGAGCCATAAATTTTCCCATGCAATTTAGGTCCCAAGTCTAATCATGGAAAACAAAAATAAAATCAGGCATACAAAACTAAAAAATGGTAAGAAGTTAGCCAAATTCTTAAAAATTGTCAATTCTACTCAAATATTAAGTTACAGAAGTTATTACACACATATCTGACCAAGTAATTAAATTAATTACAAAAAATTATAATTAATGCTTTCTTAACTTATACTCTAAAAGCATAAATTAAACAAAATTTAAAAATAAAATAACTTACATAATCTAAAATAACTTCAACATACCATATCATCATTTTTTAGTGTTAAGTGAGTTGGCATGACTAATGAGATTGACCGAAAATACCACCTCAACAATATCCTAAAATACAGCAAACTTTCTCTTTTCGATGCCCCGTTCCCTTCTTCTGCCTTCCGTGTCTCTTTCGAAAATGTTTGCAACCTTGGATTTCTACCTAAATCTAATCTCGTTTTCCCAGTATTCATTTTTATTTGTATTATATGCTTGAAATTTAGATTTAAAATTTAACATTAATTATATTGTTAATAATAATTTTTTATATATACTTTTAATAATCATCTGACGAGGCTATTTGGTTTTCTAGCAATAACAGGTCGTGATAAATGACCTGCATCATACCCCCTGAGAAAAGTAGCGACTCATTTTCTCCTTCGGGTACGATTCCATTTGACGAGCTTATCCTTGCCGTTCATATTTAAGTTTTCACTCCAGATCGTTGCCATGTGGATCAGTGGGTCTCGGGCATTAGACATTTTATACTTATCTTTTTGAGATTAGACCGTGACAAATTATTTTAAACATTCATTATAAATATCAATTTATTTTTTAAAATTTGATTATATATCAATTTAATTTATAAATAAAAATATATTATGATAATAAAATATAATTATTTGATTTTATAAATCAATAATATTTTAAAAAACTAATTTTATAATATAATAACAAATTACAAAATACTGCTATTAATAGTGCTTTTTGGATATTAAAAATTAAAATTTAAAAATAATTTTAATATTTTTTATAATTTAAAAATAATTTTGATATAAATCTAAAAGTTAATAGATTAAATTAATATTTTCGACAGTTACTTTTCAGCATTTAAAGTGCTTATGAGCAAGTTTTAAATAAGTTTATATTTTAAGGGTATGATAAATTATATTTTTTGTAATTAATTTATAT